GTATAACATACAAAAGATTTTATGAATAAATAGATTGTCCTCAACTCTATCTTATCATTTTAGCAATAGCTCCCACTTTTCAATAGAAGATGTGGTGGATATAAGTATGATTACTAGGAAGTCATGTAGAAGTTTACATTATTAAAACTAAATTAGTATGTAAATATTGTTGGATAAACTACTACAAATTTTGTCTTTATAAGATATAAGTAAAAAATCTAAATTTAATCTAGTGACTAAGTTAACTTTATTAAGATTAAAAAATAATTTAAAGAATTCTATTGCAATGAATAAAATTAGTATGACTATAGTGCCAAGGACAAGAACTCAATGAAAGCAAATAAACAAGTGGGACTTTTTCAAAAAAATAGAAATAGAGAAATATTGAAAGAAAAACTAGAATAACTATTGTCAAAAGACAAAGAAACTAGAGATTCTTGAAACTAGACTAGAAACAAGAAAAGAGTCGACAAGAGTGAAGAAGGCTTCACTCTTGCCTCTATATATACTATCTACCAAAGATCTATGTGGCGACCTTCTATAGGACCTCCAAAAACATGTTGACTTTGTATGACATATATTTTGACTTACAAGTCGAGTTTTTTATATGACTACCACATAGTTAGCTTGATCCACAAGCTACCAATACATGTAGCATATAGATAGTTTGTTGACTAAGTTTCTAACTTATCAATCAACTATAAACATATGTAAAGTCAAAACAATGTTTTGAAAGCTTTTCTAAAAAGTATTATGAAATTAATCTACTTTTACCTAATTCTACTTATTCATATTATCTAGGTAACGATTACAATAGGTATATATTCGTAACATATAGTGATTTTCATGGATAACTTATCTTTGTGCATTGTATATCTTCTTTTCAACATCACTTCCTAAATCTTCTCAGTTTTTCATGGAATGAAAGCAAGTTTTATTATAAATTAATTCAACATCTTTTATTTTTATCTTTTTTATTTTTATTTTTTTCTATTATATTGTACAATCTAAGGTTCATCTTTATTAAAATATTTTAAATTTTTTTGAAGGTTTACAAATACTCATTACGAGAATTAGTCAAATTACAGTAGATTAAATGACAGACATACTAAACTATATAGTAAGAGAAAAAAATCTCTTAAATGGTCACAACTACTGAAACATGATTAGATTATCTCAAAAACCCAAGATCCTTCCAATCCACAACAACATGAGGCCTCACCACTAAACATGACAAAACAAACCAGAATAAAATTGAACGGAATTAAACAGAATAAAACATGAAAGACAAAACTGAATAAACAGAAACAGAATAGAATAGAACATATCTGAACAAACAAAAACAAAAAAGAATAGAACAAATCTAAACAGAAAGATGTAAAACCAAAATTTACTAAAAAAAAGGGGTCCATAAACATGCTTGATTAGATGCCCCAAAAAGCCTTGGCCAGTTCTATTTATACCTTATTCTATCACCTTAGATCTTTTAGAATGTTCTTAAGTAGTGGGCCCTATTTAAACAATTGCCTTAAATTTTTTTCTAGAAGGTTCTATGGTGGGCTCTATCTAAATAACCACCCCAAATCTTCTCTAGAATGTTCTATAGTGGATCCTACTTAGTCCACTAACCTAACCTCATTTCTAGAAACTTCTATGGTTCTAATTATCTATATAATTATCTTATCTATATCCTATTACAATTACAAAGAATGATGATCTTTGTTGAAAAGTATATTTTTGAGAGATGATCTAGTCAATTTAATATACACACCATCCACATATCAGACTACCTCATTACTTAAAAAAGTGAGAATTAAAAGAGCAACCAAATCAACTAATTCAATTTTTATAGTAGCTAAACAAGATCTACAATACAAATGAAGCACAAAAATTATTGTTCATCTCTATCTTTTTTGTCATTGATCAATTAGAAATATTAAGTAATCTACCTTGTCAACTAGTTATATGTCACAAATGCATAAAAAAAATTACATATTATAAGATTTTTATGGCACCAACAACTATACAATTAATATAAGGTATGCTAAACTCAATAAAAAGATACTATAGAGCAATTATATTAGAAGAAAAACATCATACTATGATACAAAATAATAAGATTCTTTACCTATCTAGAATTAATCTCATCATGAATAATAAAGACATTGATTAAGTCTTAGAAATATTTTGCTTTACAGCTTTTGAGAATAAAAACTAGTTTTTCAACTCTAGAACATCCAAACACTTCACATAGGACGCTCAAATATTTAGTGATTTAAAACTAGTCTTGAACCCATCCATCTACTATCACCTCTACTTAAAGACAATCTCATACCATTGTAGGCTATAGAATTATTAATGATCATATATCCTTTGTCAAAAATACACTATACAAAAGACCAAACAAAAAGTTGAACAAAAGAATTTCAACAAAAAACCTAGCAAGAACTTGATTATACCAAATGAGTACAAAATTAACACCAAGAGAGGTGAACTAGAACTCCAAGAAATATATTGTCAAGACTGAGAATCCCATCAACCTTAACTCTAATATATATTAGGTAATAAGAAACTTCTCAAGAAGTTCCCATGTTGCTTAAAGACAAAACAACTTTAAAAAGGTTCTCAAGAAATTCCCATGTTGCTTGAAGATAAAGCAATCTTAAAAAGCTTTTTAAAAAGTTTTGATGTTGCTTGAAGACAAAGCAACCTTAAGAATCTTTTTAAAAAGTTTCCATATTGCTTGAAGAAGATGAAACAATGTTAAGAAACTTCTTAAAGTTTACTTTTATTACTAAGTGGAAAGTTGTTTTGATTGTAGTTGCCCTTTTTGCTAGTAACAATTGGCCAACAATTCACTACCTACAGAAACAGTATTCATAGAAGTACCGGAAGGTTTTTACACATCCACAAATTGAAACAAGGTCTTCAAACTATGCAAGGCATTATACTGCCTCCGACAAGCCCCTCGAGTGTGGTTAGAGAAGATTAATTTCTTTTTAGATCAACTTGGGTTGTCCCGAATGGAGGCCGACTACAGCCCGTTCCTCATCACCGACGGGAAACGAAATCATCATCCTAATCCTTCATGTAGACAGTCTACTACTCACCTGCTCAAATCCTAACCAAATCAACCATCTAAAACAACAACTTTTGGAGAGATTCGAGATGACCGATCTTCGTGACGTTGCTCTGTACCTAGGTGTACAATTCATCCGAACCCCGAACGCCATCTTTCTCATGCAAAAATCGTATTGCTTGCAAGTTCTAAAAGAATTTGACATGCTGGAATGTAGCCCAGCAACTGTACCTATGACTGAGGACTCCGATTGAACCCTGAAGAAGACTCTCTCGGTGTCGACGCTAAACGCTTTCAGCATCTCGTCGGGATGCTAATCTACTTGGTCAACACTAAACCTGAGCTTCACTTCGTGACTGGTGTATTAAGTCGGTTCATGCACAACCCAAAGACACTGCATCTAGATGCAGCTAACCAAGTACTTTGATACATCAAGGGTGCTTACGATCTTGAGATCCACTACGAGAACAACACAAGCCCGATGGTTATCGGCTATACCGACTTAGACTGGGGGAATTGTAGAATCGACAGATAGTCCATCATAGGATGGGTTTTCAAGTCCGCGGGTAGCCCCATATTGTGATTTTTGAAAAAACAAGAAACAGTGGCCATCTCCTCAACAGATGTTGAAGCCAAGGCTCTCTCAGAGGGAATCCGCGAAGCCGTATGGCTTTGCACACTCTTCACAAAACTCCACGGCTACACCACAGATCATATTGCGATCTTCTGCAACAATCTGCAATCCCGTATACCACGAACAACTCAAGCACATAGAACTATGGGTCCACTTTGTTAGAGAAAATGTTCTTACAGGAATTGTAGATATCCTCTACACCCAAACCAGTGACCAAATCGCTGACCTCTTCACGATGCCATTAGGGGAACAGCGGTTCACCAAGCTCCAGGACGAGCTTCGAATAAAAAACCTTAATCTACTAAAATCCAACTATGATCGTCTCATATAGCTTTCTGCCTCCTCCATCCGCTTAAAACTACGGAAATCGGTATTATGGTACCCACTTACTTGTTTCTCACACTCAACCCAACTCTCGTACACACCTGGCCAGAATCCATTCTTCACAGCATAGTACCTCCTACGAACTTGAGCATCATCCCCGACTTTGATCTCTGAAGATCAGTTGCTTTCAACCGCAATCCTCGAGCTTCACCAACCTCTCCCAAATCATTATTTGCAACTGGACGCTGCTTAGAAGAAGTCGCCACTCGTATCAACACATTCAACAGGAAGTCGAACAACCGTTGGATTACGATTATGAGCAAGGCAAGAATCAGAATGTCCACCTGGAGGAACAACGGCACCTACATCAATCATGCTGCCCACCTTACCGCAATACACCGAAAACAGGACAGTTCAAACCTCTCCAGCAGCATGTTGCAAACTTGACATCGTACTTGCAAAACTGCCATTTCTAGTATCTCTAAACTTCATCTCTCAAAATCATCGTGCTCTTCTCACTCACCTCCATTCGTGTAAAAGCTCTTACCTCGTATCCAAATATCTCGGTACGGGGGGTGTTAACCATGATCTGTTGAACGTAACAAATGTCATAGTATGTACTCTGTTAGAACAACATTCATACCATATGAATGTGGTATATATGTCAAAGTACTCGACTAATAAATCCATTTTTCTTGTTTGATATGTACGTATGTACTGATGGTGTCACTCATCGAACAGCTTCACAATGTTCTCGTTACGGTACTTCCACGGACATCTCCCCATCTTCATAATCTAGCAATTTTTACTTAGTCTTGTGGAGTGTTATGTGAGACTCCAAGTGCCAATTTATGTATATTTCTCGGGATGAATTAATTGTCCACGAACACGCGATTAGAGAATGATAACTGACACACGGTTATGAGCAGAACAGAGGATCAAATGTACGTTCCAGTTTCAGAATAACAGAACAGAAAACGACATGCCAACCCTCAGCAGGGGTTGGACGCGTTGATATTATCATTTAGGAATTGGATTTTAGCCTGAGCCAAGAGCGCATCTGCATCCAAGCTCTTACTTCTAATCTAAACATAAACAAATGCTACGTGGCAGAATATTTCTTGGCGCCATCTCTTGTTGGTTACACTTTGATGAATCTGCTACGATTCTACGGATATTTCTTATGGAACCATCAAACAGATACTGAACAGAATATGGTAAAGAGAGGAACTTATATTTGAGATCCTGAGTATCCATTTACAGACTAAGGTAGCAGCATAATGAAGGGATTCGACCAAAAAGCTGGCCGTGGAATAATCTACAACCCCATGAGCGTAATTAATTTCCTACATCTTGTTTTTACTCAGCTCTCACTAATCCATAGAGTGATACTTCCCACTCGTTTGAAATTTTCACACAGAGTTTCCGCAAGTAACCGCACACGAGACTCGAACAATTACTTTTTACGCTCACTGAGTGCGGCTAGCTATCCAGTTCCCTGAAGTCTGTACAAAACCTCTGTGGAATCCACTCGAGAAGAACACTTAAGCTTAAGTATCAAGAAAATACGACTATCACTTGAACCCTCGTTCAAAGATCTCAAGATTCCGCTCCACCATTGATACGCTCGCACTCGTCAATCCAGTCACTGTAGACATCGATGGGGTCACTGAGCGCTGCATAAACAAACCACAACGATATTAAACACAGGGCTCACCTAAAATCTCACCTCATCTCGCTCACTACCAAAAAGCCCAATCGAAGACGCAAAAAAAATCCCACATGTTAACGACAGTTCCTATTTTTGCCGTTTCCACAAACCTAACACGGCTATGTACACATTCGCCAAGAGCGACTTACAATCAATAGGCGTGCTGAACTTCTCCAGACATATTCGACAAGACGCCTCTCCAATTTGGTTTTTGCGATCCCTGTGGAGGCACACTGACGTCAGCCACACAATCCACCCAAAACCCCAAACACAAACATACAAACACACAACTCGCCGCCTCTCAGTGCCAAAATCACGCCGCGAAGCCCACCCAGACCACAAACTCACGACCACAAACAAGCTCCCTACTCACATGCGGCACTCCACACTGTTGTCGTGGTTGCAGAAAGGGCAGCTGAACACCGTCGCGAGCTTCTCCTGGCCGCGCCGCGGAGCCGGCTTCGCCGCGCTCTTGCGCTTCCCCATCTCCAACCTCGACCACTCGAACGCACGCCTCAATACCTCCTCACCCACCCTCTCTCTCCGATCGTCAGGATCACACCGCAAATTTGACAGAGAGACGAGAACAAATGGTCACAAGTGTAAGCCATTCCAGGTTCAATTTCTCCTTTATACGCGTCTCCCCCATACATACAGTCGTCACCTGTCGGTCTCGACTCTTCCGAATCTTTCCTGCACCTCCTTCCTGTTTCTCCAGCTCTCATTCATCTATCCATTTTTCATCCTCCCTCATCCGCTTCTGCTGAGAGGGATTTCTCCTCTGTCGGTTTCACATCATCCTTCAACCGCTTCCAACCTCGTTCGTCAACGTCGTTGCCGTGCTGGACGGAACCTTCTCTCCCGTTGGGAACGTGGAACTCGGATTCGCGAGCGCGCTCCCATGTGGCTCTATTGACATGGGCTTCTTTAGATTCATTATAAGCAAAAATAAATTTGATAAATAGTGCGTATGACTTTTTTGCAAATAGCCATAATTCAAGAAAAATAAAAGGAAACAAAAGGAAACGAAAATTACTTTCAGGAATGTTTTGGATGCACAGATTACTAGAGGTTTAGTAATTATGCCAATAGGGAATCATATTCAATGTCAAGAATTGATTTTCACTTTGTTCACTTTTTTTTACGTATGAAAATAATGGCTATAAATAGTTCCCTTTCAAATAAAATTTATAATTACTATTAAGAATTTTTTAAATTATTGATAGTGTAGATGCCATGGGTTTGACGAATATTGCAATTTCTTGGTCGAGGTTGGTGACTCCCAAAAGGACTGAGACATGCTTTGACAGCTTTGAGTGATAGAAGAAGAATCTCACTGACACGCACTGATGAGCTGATCCTTTAGGTTACTCCACTACCTTTTGCTTTTTTCCCTTGTTCCATTGGCCACGTCAGACTGTTTCACTTCCACGTGTAGCTCCACCTGGTCTCATTTTTCAGCAGCAGGTTGGGGATGTGGAGTTTGTGCTGGTACCTTCCGTCCTGGACGAGGTGAACCTCACATTTGAGAGACCAGTATGGGAGGTTCCGTTTTTCTTCGTCCGACTGCTTGGGATTGCTTCGTCGGGATTCAGCACCATCGTCAGACGTCCGTCACAACTCAGTGCTATCGACGTCATCGCCACTTTAGCTTTTGTTCTCTGCTTCGCAGCCTCCTTCTAGTCATGGGGTCCACGTCTATTCATCGCTTCCAGGCTCTACTCCTTGGCTGTCTCCAATTTTCTCCAAGTTAGGAATCGTTGAGTTCCCTAAAGCAGAGCATGTTTCGGATTGATTGCTAGTGCCGTCGAAGGTTAGGCGGAGCACTGGATCATCGGATTTTGTGCTTACGACGGTGTTCTACGTGAGTGTGTTGGCGCTAGGGTTTCTGTCGAAAAGTGAGGCTAATTGGCATGGCACTTTTGTATTTGCTCAATCTCGTGTTATTCAGAATTACTGTGGCTGGATGATTTGCGGACTTTACGGATTTAGAATGTTAGGAGATTTTTGTGGGGGATTATACGGCAGCTTCCTTGTTGAATTGTTGTGGAGATGATTCATAGTAAAGGAGTTGGGTGGTAAGAAGCGAAGTAATTCTCGAGAAATTTCGAGGGACCTCGTTCTGCTATAATTACCCCTCGAAATCTACTAGATTAGAAGATGGTTTTACAGTTTGATGTAGTTAATTACGAAGATCTACTGATTGTTTATGATGTGGGATCTCGCAGGGGATGCACATAGTCTCTATTCATCACCGAGTATCAAACTAGTGTGTAATCTGGTGGCAGCGTGATTGACGATGGGATAACAGGGTGGAGATATTTCCATCTCATTTGTTTCTGTGGGGAGGCACTGAAAGCCAGCAGGGGATTGGGGAAAACGGAGAAGATTTTTGGGAAGGAAAGTGATACTGTAGAGGAGGAAGGGAAAGCAGGAAGGACGCGGCAGAATGAGGTTCGGCACTCCCCTGCAGATCAAGCTTGTGATTCTGGGTGATGGGCGTGTAGGAAAGACATCTCTCGCGCTGCGATATGTTCACAATGTGTTCTCTGAGAAGCAAATGGCTACAATTCAGGCTTCGTTCTTAACGAAGCGCTTGACTGTGGATGGACAAGTTGTCAGTCTTTGCATTTGGGATACAGCTGGGCAGGAGCGATTCCATGCACTTGGTCCTATCTACTACCGTGATGCTGATGCAGCGCTATTGGTGTATGACTTGCTGGACAAAGACAGTTTCGACCGTGTTCAAAGTTGGGTGCGAGAGCTGAAGAAGATGGCTTCCAAAAATATCGTGTTGTCAATCGCTGGCAATAAGAGCGACATGGCTAAGTCGTTGCACGGGAACATGCAGGACGCTGAGATGTATGCAGAGTCAATAGGGGCAACTCACTTTGTAACTTCTGCAAAACTTAACGCTGGCATTGAGGAGACCTTCATGGACATAGCTCGTCGTGTGATGCAACAAAGAGCCGCGGAGGGTATCGATAACCCTGCCAGTGGTCCGCGACGAAAGAGTGTTGTCATTGCTGACAAAGAAACTGCAAATACGCCACCTACTTCTAGGTGCTGTTCGTAGCTGGCGACCTGTATATATTGTAGGTTTTCACCTTAATTGTTTAGCAATCTTTTTTCTTTGTAGTCACATTATTCTTTGTCATCGCTGCGACAGTTACTGAGTAATGGTGGCGTCTCGATGAGTTGTTTTGACAATGGCAAGCTTGGTAGATACAAGCTACGGCACTTCATGATAAGACGTGAAATTCGGAGGTCTGGTTTTTCATGGATAGCTTTAAGAACGAAAACTTTTGGTTGTATTACATGACATACTTCTGCCAAGGGATGTAGCAGGGCACTTGAAGCGCAAATTAGTGATTCTGTCTTCTATTTTTATTCGATTTAGCTCCTGTGGTGGGCAGATAGGCTAAACCTTTGTTAAACGAGGGACCATTGTGAAGGAAATAATAATATGCACACAATTATGGCTGTGTGGCTCCTGGGTATGTACATTAAAGACCGGTGCGCTACAGCAAGGCTCATGTGGTATCAAATGCTTTTCAGTTGAAAGAATAGGTTGTGATATTCATCCGGCCTATGCTGTCATTGTGCTGGTGACAATTGTACCATTTTGTGGATTATTACTAGACTACTACGACTAAAAGACTTGTGTTCTCTGTGAGTTACTTTTGGCTTATTTGAGCTCCTCATTCGTATTGACCGCCGTCTTATGTAATTTACATCATATTGGAAGAGTTGACTCAATTCCACATTTATCATGAGGAGGCTTAATTTTGTCTGTCGGGGATTTGAAGAAGTTTAATCAATACTTCTACCCATTGATTGTCTCGCTTGTCTCGCTTGTTTGTTTGTTTGTTTGTTTGTTTGTTTTTCTCTCGGCTTCCTTTTCATTGCAGTGTTGCTGGTTTGCAGAAGAATTGGCAGGCATACACAAACAGATGACGAGCAAAGGTAGTGAACGACAATTGTGATGCTTTGTTCCCTGCTGCAGTTGTAATCACACTCAGCTCTTAGTACTTCTTAAACCTTCGGTGCACGATTTACAATGAAGTGTGACTTGTTATCTGGTGTGGCACAGGCCAAGCGAGAGCTGTAACATGTGCACAGCAAGTTGGATGAGGCATGCCAGAGGCGAAGTTGATGGCGTTTTCGCGATTTGAAAGGTTATTTTAAAACAAAGTGGGTTAGAGAAGTGGGATATTGCGGGCATGGAGTACAGATGAGAAAAAGAAAAGTTCGCGACGTTACGGCTCACATCCTTGTGAATAAAGATAGTTACCAACTGAAGTCCGCACAACAGTTTCTCTGCGATGACAAAGCCATGGCCCCAACCCATTTCGAGTTCAAATCTGGGCCGTCACTCCTCTGAGTTTCTAGAGCTTGTAAGTCTTGTCGATGCGAAATCATCTTGAGCTTGCCACGAATATGTAGTTCGTGGCAGCAATATGGTTATGAGGCGCTGCAAGGTTTTTGTGCGAAGCAGTTGGGTGGATTTTCTGGAAAAACGTGCGATCACGTACAATACTGTCCCTGCTTGCAGAAGGAAGAAAGAGAAGACGCTGGGCTTGGAGTTGGAACATGGTCATCGTTAAACATGTAGTGGAGTTCGGTTACAGCATTCCATCCTTGAGAAGCTTAACTGCGGCTCTTGACATCTCAGCTGAATCAGCTATAAGCACACATCATTTGTGGAGCTTATCTTGCACAGGAGTTTATTATCCTCAGGAAGAGCAGAAAAACATTGAATTGCAAAACATGTGATGTCGCCTGTGGAATATCATCTCACCTCTGTTGTGGAATCGTGTCTTTGCTAGAGGAATTGGTGCTGAAGGTGGTCTCATTATCCGCGCTCTGATATCCTGCATATGGTAGTTAGACATCAACCCCAAGGTGCAGAGCATCAAATGCAACATGTTCAATACTCACAACGAGGCCAATATTTCCAGTGGTTATTCTGTATGAGCAGCAACGAAAGGTAACCTACAAAAGCTGGCCTACCCTCGAGGAATGGATACAAACAAACAAATCAAGTTTGTCAGTAAGAAGTGTATTTACATACATAAAATAAATTAAATAAATAAATAACTTAATATGTCTATATATACATATAAGAAAGGGAAAAAAAAAAAAAAAAAAAAAAAAAAAAACTTGTGTATAGGTATTAGATTGTAGTACATTGTTTGTTAGGGATAACATTCTTTAATTATAGCAAAAAGTTTTACAAAAATAATATAGGTGTGCAAACCAAACATAGATCTTAAACTCGTCTTTAGATTAAATTAGATATTTTTGTAACAGTAACGTTAATGATTTTAGTAATTATTATTATTAATATATTTCTTTAGTCAAAGTATTGTAAGTGTTTTATGAAATGTAAATAATTTAGATAGTAGACTATCCATGGTATATTGTTCCTCCTTTTAAATTATCTACATAGATTTATTTATTTATTTATTTCCAAATTTTCTATATTATCATGCTTAAGTTAATATTCCCTACAAAGTAAGCACATCAATTTGAATAAAAGTACAGAAGATTTTTTTCATAAAATGGATTCTTTGTATTTTTTTATATTTAAGCAAGAGTAGGAACTTACTTAACAAGCTCATTCTAAGGTATGCATATTCATTAGTTCTTTTTATAGTTTCTTTTTATAGTTATTAAAATATTCAAACAGAACTTATTTTGTTACAAGATATACCATTAAGAATCTTGTTTAGAAATTATTATATTTTTAGAATTTACAAACTTTAACCTTACAATTTTTTGCTACATAACCTTTGATAGTCAATGTTAAGGATGCTTATATCCTCAGTAAAAATTCTACCAGCATCTTTTGACGTTCATTCTTAACATTAGCAATATCTCTTCAAATATGGTAATGAAATGATTGCTAAACACTTTTGTTTGTAATGCAATTTTAAATTCTAAAATTTTAAAATATGAATATCAAGCTGTTGAACACTTCGTCAAGGAATTCTTCAGGGCGATGAAATATACCACAAAATGTGAAGGCAATGCAAAAGAGGATAAGTCTAGGCAGAGTGTGGTGATGCACAGTAACGAAAAGACAAATCCAGCATTGTAAGAAACTATTCTGACTATAGACCCTGTATGCCAGGTGTGAGTGTACTAGAAGGATAAATGTCATTGCTCAATCTGGCTTGTCCAAATTGAATGCCTTATCCATAAATGGTGTGAAGCAGATTGAGTTCAAGTTGATTAAAAAACATTACAGAACTCGGTCCATTTCAACAACGCAAGCTATTCACATATTTTACTCGTTTGTACACGTCATTATACTTGCTACGCCATACCATTAATCTACACACTCAAATACAGCCGAGGATCCAGTCCCCCGCTATATTCACTAGCATAAGATGTCAACATTTTTCACTCTAAGACATCGATTCAATGTCATTCACCAGCGATGACGAATCAAGCTGGCGATCTTAACCCTGCAACTCATTGTGCAAGAGAGGGATCGGTAACACGACCCGTGAAAATTACCACATTCGAATGCTCTTCCTTAATCACGAACATAAACGGATGGTCGCACACAAACTCCACCGGATCATCAGTGTACATCTGCAGGCTTTTCGCGGTGACTGTTAGTGCTGTAGCTGCGGCTGCTTCAGTCCCCTTCTCATTAACCTCGACAAAAGTCTTGTGGTATATATTGGAGACATAGAGCTTGTCAGACACGGGGGAGTCCAGCATCTCAGTCAGATCTGCTTCCCTTCCAAACGGCAAGGTTAACCCCATGGATTCCAATGCCTTCGGTACCTCAAACCCTGAGGAGATTTTGAACTTCGGGAGCTCGAACTTGCTCACGGGTAACAACTGCTTGACGTGCTGCAGATCTTCTGCCAAAGTCTTCGCATCTAGAGCTTTTTCCAACTCGACTAGCCCGTACTTCTCACTTGGCAAAAGAATGAACATCGAGAATAAGCGTTCGTCGTGGCCAGCGGAGTATGGTAAGCGAAGAGCCTTGAAAGTGGGAAAAGATTTCACATACTGCCTCTGGGATGTGTGCATCATGGACACTTTTATTGTCTTCCCATCCAGCAAGTAGAAGTCCTCTTCTCGGGTGTGGTAATCGTCAAATTGTTTCTTCCATGCTCCCTTGAAGTAAAGCGCGTTAGCTAACACAACGCGTGTGTCGTGGTCCACTGAACCTGCAGGAAGGAGATTCTCAATTTTCCCGTGCGTCTCGTCTTTCGCCCATTTATTTACTTTTGCTAGAGCTTCAGCGGCCTGCACACCACCAGCTTATTGGTTGATTTCAATGCACAATCACATTTTGGGAATTTAATCAACAATTTTAGATGCGACTTCGTGATGGTTCGGATTGCAGCCAGCGTGTTACATAGGCTGCAGTTCAAGCTCAAATTTACCAAGCATATGATTCAATTCTTGCAGGGAACAAGCTTCTAATTGTGCTGCGCCAATTCTGGGAATCTCAGTTCCAATAACATTGCAACAGTCTGTGAACAAGACAGACCGACGTGAGGTCTGGTCTTGGTCTACAACAAGAGCACGATTTATGCCTGTATTCACGAAATGGTTCTATGTGGCTCATTTATCACCTGAATTGAGCTTTTGATATAAAAAATTATAAAACAAATCATTCGAGGAATTGGGAGCAGTGAAGCAAGGTAGGGTTTGTGGAGACGCAGGAAGAAGGAAATTAATTTCAGTACCTTAGAGATGAAGTCTACCGAGGCAGCTTCAGATCCGTAGCTCTCCTGAAGAATTTTCTGGAATGCAGGTTTCAGTTTCACTGATTGCTCCACCCACAAACGGTTGGCGAGTGCCAACTCCGGTCCGCCATCGCCCTGCTGATTAGAAAGCACAGTCTTCCTCAAATGCGAGGAGAAATCGTGTAATGGTTTGCCTTGCGGGAGCTTGATGCACTTGGAAATCTGCTCTCTCGTCGGTCCCTTTGCCCCTGCCGTCAACATCGCTAATGCCAGATCAACGCTAAGAGGCGACAGAACCACATTTTCGCTCTCCTTACCCTTAACCAAGGTTTTGTACAAGTCAACCGTGAACTGGGTCTGACCAGCTACCGAAGCTGCCACGTCCATTTTCGATAACGTCGAAGGCTTCTCACCCAACCTGCACGATCGGCACAATAGAATACTCAAGATTTCCACACAACAACCATCAATTCAAGAGAATGAAGCAAACAATCACATGAGTCAACATCCAGAACTCATTACCTAAACCAGCTCAAAATCTTCTTACGAACACTGAATCCCTCATTGGGGTATCCCATCTGTAAAGTCACAACAAAAGCACAAACAGCCCCGCAAAGCGCAACAACACCCAAACCACTCAAGTTATTCATTTCCACCCTTAGCAAACAATGGCTATCAAATCCACAGACGGACCTTAACAAAATTTACAGATACGCGAAGCACTCCAACAAAAACCACCTCGAGCTTGTGAATCAAGTACCCATTCGACAGATCACAGTATACTCCACACAAGTCATGGTCTAGGATGGGGAGCACCAATTGTATCTCGCAGATCCAGAGACTGAGTTACATGGCGCAGCCTCTCACAGACATGACAGGATTTCCTCGTGCTGCCACGAATACCGAGCTGCTGTTCACTGTTTGGCATACCCTCAGGGAATCCAGATTATCTTGGAATTAATCCAGTTATGTCGTGTCATGTAAACCCAGCTCGTTTGAATGGAAACCAATCGTGGGTAGACAGCGGTGCATCTCGCGTCAGTAGTTAACGGAGCTTCGGCAGCATGCTTCATGTGAGCTGATGCAAGTTTGAATCTCGACTTGTCTTGTGCTTCCTACGTCTGCATAGACGACGGATATCGAGAATCCGCCTCTGTCTCACGCCACTCTTGTGTGTGCTTCCCATTCCCACAAAGAAGATGTCTTCCATAAAATAAAATAAAATACAACTGGGAAGGTGGGATCCAACTTGGACCTATGCAGCACAAACCTAGTGGTTGAATGAGCATGTGAAGAAAGAATTAGTCTCTTTTTTGTGTTTTGACACAGTTGGAGTAATCCATGGTTGTGAGGGTTGGTGACACATTGTTAAGATTTTATGATTGGATTTTTCATTGTTTATTTTTTCGGGTTGGGTGCAGTTTTGTCATCTTTTACTAGTTTGAGGTTATTTTGGACTAAGGAAAAAGTAGTTTTACATGAAAGTTGGAAGATATGTATAGCTCTTTCAACTCTCATGTTAAATTAATTAAAAATGTTAAACAAGAAATTTTCAAACAACAATCATATATTATTTTTAGATAATTATTAATGCTACATCCTCAATTGACATTTCTACACCCCACATGACCTCCTTGTAGACAACTAGCTAATAATATGCACCTTTCTTTTGCACAATTTTTGCTTTGTTTGCTTAAAGAAAGGATGGAGGTTGACATGGAGACAATGAATATTTTATGAAAAAATAGGTTGTGAATTGGTTTTTTAAAATAAAATATTTTTCTTACATTTTATTTATTAAAAAAATTACTAATTAAAAAATATTTTGTTTATTTATTTATTCTATTTTGAATCAATATTGGGGTTTAATATTAGGCTATTATGGACGTGCTAAGCATAGAAGCATGTTTTTTAGTCAATTTAAATGGTGTAGAGGTCACATAGGATGTAGCAATATCAATTGAAGAAGTAGCATTAACAAATTTTTATTATTATTATTTTTTATTTAAATACTAAATATGATATTGATCAATAGCTATAACATTATTATTGTATGTATTGAATGCTATTATAGACCTTAAATTGTGGTAGATACTAAGATTGCAAAAAAAAATATTTTTGCAATAAAATATTTTTAATATGGTATTATTGTATTAAAAGAAGATTATCTTTATATATATATATATATATATATATATAGTGTGTGTGTGTGTGTGTGTATGTGTGTGCATGTGTATGATAAGGAATTATAAAAGTAAATAGATTATGGAGGATTGACATTAGTATTAAGTAATATGCATTATAAAAATATTTTGGTTAATAATAATTATCATTTGTATGATTTTATATTTTATTTTTATTAAGTATAGATATGTAAATATGGTTATTTAATGATACTTGCTTAATGTTAGTAGGAGTATAGGTGGCAAATCTATTCCAAGTTCCTTCTTTTATTTATTGCTACACCCTATGTGACCTCCACATGACTTAAAATGCTCTAAATTTTACAATAACATTATAAATGAACCAAAAACTTTAATTTGCATATAAACTAATTAATTAATTAAAACCTCTATGTGTATCTTTTATGTCTAAGAATGCACATGATTATTTTATTGATTTTCTATTTTTTATGTTCCAAACTAATGCATATGCAAATTAATTTACATCTATAATTAGTTCTAGTAGAAGGTGTTAAAAGTTAAGTATTTTTTAAAATCTGTAAACTTTACAATAAGACAGAAAAACACACTATAAACCTGAATTGATTCTCGTTACATGCAACTGTTTGAATTGAATTCAGATACTGCACATTGTACATTAATTAGTTTCTCCCAACCCACTATTAGAAAAAGAAATGGGCTTCCTTACCTTCCACCGCAAGTGCTTGCTATCTACATACAAGGGGCCTTTGAATGAACAGCAAGATCTACCATGTGAGCAACAGACAAAGGTAGAGTGACGGACTTATAAGTTTTATCCCCTACAAGCAACCATATCGGAATCGTTGACATGACTATCCACCTGGTACCAGAAACTTTCACTTTGATCATAAGCAAAATAGCAACATAAAAAGAGTTCTACACATTTTGTGCATACAATTCCTCACAGTACCCCTTCAAACTTTCTTCTGTCCCTACCTATTTAAACGCCTACAGCATATTTCTAGAGCATTGGCACACTTTTGATATAATTGTTCAGACATTCAAGCGGATTGCAGTCTTCATCAAAATTCGGCTGATTGTGTTAACTTAGCTCCACAAACAGAAGGGTCACATTTTAGATCATGTGAAGAATTGACTTCGCTATGTGAATCCGAGACGTCTGACTAGTTCTCAGAATGGGATTAATGTAGATGAGCAGTATGTGACAATAATGACAATCATCTCTGGTCACAAGCATTCACAGAACGTTTTGTAAAAAAGATATGCGTTGACTGCATAATCAATAACTGCAGCAATGGTCTTGGATAGTGCCTTCAACCAAGAATGCTTGGAAATCCTTTGGAGACAATTTCGATAACCTACTGCGCGCTCCATCTATGTCCACAGCCTCTGCAACTATTTCCATTTGTGGAGGAAAGTCCAGCTGTCCAAAAACAAAGTACTGTAACAAAGTTCACATACTAGCATTCGTCTAATAATTCGTTAGGTTTAAAAGACCCATCATCTTCACAAATCACCAATCGTCGTCGAGTAATTCAAGATTGAGTCATTTGAATTTAGAAGTCGTGTAACTCGAGTAAAGTAGAGACAAATAAATCCATCTATCTCAAAGTACCCAAAGAGAGACAAAGGTCTTCTGCTGCTGAGATTAAGATTTAAACCAAAAGAAAACCCTGGTACATGAATCCGAATATTAGAAACAAGGACAAGTTATTCTCCAAGGCTAGATTAAGCCACCTGCCAGCAACTCTCAGGCAATGTGGCCCGTAAACCTTTCGAATTTCCGAATGAGCTCGTTTGCATCCTGGTCGATGCAGCATCTGATGACAGCACTCAATCAGCACTCCAGAATACAAGCTCACAAAGAGCTAATTTGTTGCTCAATAACCAAAACCAAAACATGATCGCCGAACCTATGCTTGAAACTGACAGCATCGATTACAAACCTGTGTCAATATTGCAGCGCACATGCCAGCAGCCACAGCTGATAGCACATTCGTTCCAGTGCTCATCTTTGATACTTCAGCTTCGACCAAATGTCACTGGTTGAAGATGCTGAACTAAAGAAATAAAATTACGAAACGATTCACTACAGATTCTTTATGCCACGATGTTCATACAGACATCGGGTCCTTTCCTCTCCATGAATGCCTGCCTTCAGATCCTTTCTGTAGGGTCTTATTGAAATTGTAGTCGCACACGAAGGTGTTCAATTGCAGCAACGACCAATACTGGGAATCCAAGTTAGAATGAGCAGCTGAAAATCTAGACTATGCCATAAAAGTTGGGGTGTAGAGCGTTGACTTTAGTGAGTCCCGGCGACCAGAAGTTGATGAAAAGAGGATGCAATGTCTTACCAAAGTGAGGACCAGCACATTTGAGTGCTGCTTCTCAAGGATTACAAGGATTGACTCGGAAGCCAAATAGAGCTAGGATCTTGACCATGATTTCTAGCAGCCCACACTTTCTAACATGAGAAAACAGTGAACTACCTGTAATGAACGCAACTCCCCTTGTAGAAGAGTTGACTGATAAAATACAGTTGATAAAGACGCGAGCAATGTTTAACCAATTCATTCAACAGTTCGTGAAGAATTGCGAGTGGTTTCCTTGGTATCAATCACCAGGAGCGGCTGTATTGAAACGAAACACTTCCGCTCAGGCTTTATATGCATAAAAAGACCCTTACATGGGAATCTCCGTGAGAGTCTATGCACAACCTACTGACTATTCTAAATCCCCCGTAGTTCTAAAAGTATAAAATTGACTCTTCTGTTTTCATCACAAGACCAGAAACGATAGTCAAATGTTCCACGTTGCCAACTAAGATGCACGTCCGGACAAGGGGAAGAAACAACCTCCACTCCAACAATGTGTTCGAGCCGCCCAAAAATTACTAAGCTGGCACAAGTAGGCAGAGTGGTACATCAGAAAGAGAGTACTCAGGAGATGGCTTTCTGAATCTCCTGAGTGACGACATTAGCTGGCTTCGCAGCTTCAATGTTCCTCACGACACCCTTTTTCAGGTAGTACTCAATGACCTGAACGTAACAAAATACTCACATGTAAGAACAATCGATAGGCATGAACAGCTGGCAACGAAGTGATACGAAATCAGCAATAGATCCAAATCAGACTTATTATTTCCAGATTTTACTTGCATTGCTGATCAAATCAAACCAAATTAATTTGCATCACTCAAGAATGTACATCAGCTTTGAGTACGCGAAGAAAACCCTTGCAAGGTACAAGCTCTAGCTGGAAAAGAAAACCATAATACGCAGATATGAAAAAGCAAAACAAAACTCACGGGTGTGGTCTGTTCGTGGAACGACGATAGCCTCTTCTTAAGCACTTCCACAGTGTCATCCTTGCGCTGCAACAAAGGCTCTCCAGTAATCTGCCGACCACAAGTCATACACAAATTCAAGACCTTGAACTTGCTCTGTGACAAGACGATCTTACGCCCACGCATTCGAGACTAACGCCCTTCTCTCCAGATGAAAACTAATACAAGATGCTAGCGTTCCTTCGAATAGAGTCCAACCAGTCACTCTAAAAACGCTGCGAAGAATCTGTGTGTGTGTGTGTGTATACATTTATTACGACTAAATGTAAAAAAAACATGTCAAGATTTAGAGAACGTAAAACTTACGTCATCACGGCCAGGCACCTTCGGGGGTGCAAACTTGGAGTGATAAGATCGGCCACTAGCGGGGTGAATCCACCGCCCAGTAATACGCTCTTCAAGGACAGAATCTTCAATCTCAAAGTTCAGAACCTTGTCAACCTTTACGCCTTGCTTCTCAAGAGCGGCATCCAACTGCAAAGGAGCACGGTAGATGTCACTAACGGTGACAAAACTAGTAACTCCATTGAGCTTCTAATAGCTCCGATCATAAAACTCTAAAAACCAGAAAATTTTCAAGAGAAAGGTTAGAACATTCATGCCTTCTGTGCTTGGACAACAGTGCGGGGGAAGCCATCAAGAATAAAACCCTTTGAACATGACGGCCGTTTCAAAGCCTCCTCGATAATTCCTACCACTAAGTCATCGGAAACCAGCGCGCCCTGCCAATCAACTTCCACCTCTATCAACACATGCTGTTATACCAGAACTATGTCGAGCAAATTCTACCGATGGCTTTCTAGTGCTTTTACGCCATTCACATCAACTAGCATAATATAGTTCTCATTGAAATAGGAAGTTAGTAGTAACCTGGTCCATAGCAGCCTTGGCTTGTAACCCTAAAGGCGTCTGCTTAGCTACCGCTGCGCGCAGCATGTCGCCCGTGGCCAAATGGCACAGGCAGTGCTCCTCCTTGAGAATGGGCGATTGGGTTCCCTTCCCACATCCCGGAGGCCCTAGATGACACAATACAAAACAATAACAATCAAACACAAAACTAAACAAATACGAAAAACCAAATCAGCATTCAAATGTAACAACCACGGTTAGAAAATGCTCGCTAGGCATTCTACGTTTTGCAACCCAGAAATCTCAAAACACCTGAAACCCAAAAGCGTGCATATACCAACAAGGATGAGGCGCTTCTCCTGTTTGGGGGCACACTTCATGCGGCGCAGAAGCTCATGGAAGAGCACATCGTTGGGCACATCCTCCAGATTAGCAGCAGCGGCAGCCATGGCGTGGCCCGGGGGTTGTGAAACAGGCGAGCTCGCGACGTAGCGACCCCAGCAGCGTGGTATGATGAGGGTTGGATTAGAAGAAGCCTCGTAATGGAATCGACAAGTGCGTCCCGGGACACATGAGAGAGATCAAGCGAGTGATTTGGTGCTCGTGACGAACGATGTTTTGACATTTTTGCCTTTTCGCTCTCCGCAAAAGGTTGCTCTCTTCCCGCGGTAACGGCGACGAAGCACCTCACGTCGTGTGTTGGCGTCACAGGATTTGCCTGTCCCGCGCGTCCGCGTCACTTTTCAACAGATTACTTTTTCACAATCAGCCGCATACAATGTGCAACGTCGGTGCACCCAAATTCGTTGTTGGAATTGTGCAAGTTTGGATGTACATTATGTGTGTGTGAGTTTTTTTGAATTTGAATTTGAATTTGTAGAGTGCCAACTTCCAAGAGATTAGATTATTGTGTATTCCTCTACAAAATCAACAATGATTCTCTATGATTTTAGAATAATTTTGTGTTTAATGAATGTGGATAGTCCATTTGAGTCTATTTGCATTTAAATTGTTAATTTGAAAGCACTTGCATGAATTTTTAGCATAGAGTGTATATATTGTAAGAAAAAAAAAATCATGTATATGTATATACATACATAAGAATGTTAAATATATCCATGCTTTTACTAAATTGACATGATATATATATATATATATATATAATCATGTTTTTATTAAATATATGTAAAATAATTTAAAGAATAACACATGTATTTTTTAAAAGCCAATTTTAGATATTTATATAAATAAATAGATATTTCTTGAGAAAAAATGATAAATTTTCTATCCAATTATGTAATATGCTTAAAATTTTAAAATAATTGCATAAATATTTTAAACTTTTAAATTATGATTGATATAAAATATAAATAAATATAAATAGTATAATAATAGATAATTCCAAATATTGGCTCTTTTAGGCTTAAATTACATTAAGGTTGATTATAATTTATGTGTGATTCTTATAACCTTATTTTACTTAGTTATATAATTTCTAAAATTCACATCTTGTTACATTAAATCAAAATTAGATAAAATGTTCAACTTAATGCAAAAAAATTAAAACAAATAATAATAGGATATTATTTTAAATTTAACTTTGTAAATATTGATATATATATATATATATATATATATGTATATATATTGCTTCAGAAGCTATTTAATATTAATAATAAAAAAATAAATATAAAAAATCAAAGAAATACAAAAAATTATAATATAATACTATACACAAGATCAATATATATATATATATATATATATATAGATATACATATTTGGAAATTTTCAATTTGTTTTTGGAAAAAAATAATGTGTCTCTTCTTCTTTATTTTATTATTTATTTATATTACATCAACCAAGTGTCAAGGACAAGAACTTAATGAAGGAAAGTAAATAAGTGAGATTTTTTTTCAATCTACCAATTACCTATAGATACACATAAAGGTGAAATTGTGTCTATGAAGCTTCTCTACAAGATATTATCAAATATATCTATTTTTACCTACTTCTACCTATTAATAGTATCTAAGTGACTATTAAAATAAATATGTATGTATGTGACACCAAATTCTATGATTTATTTATTTTTTAAGTTTTAAGAATTATATTTTATTTTAGGAATATAACCAATTTTCTATAAATACTTCAAATTTTCAATACAAGATCCAAAAAACTATAATTTTTTTAAAAATTAAAGAAAAAATTTAGAAACTTCTAAATAGATAAAAAAAAATTATAAATTTATATAAAATTCTAAAAGTTTCTAAAAAATAATTTAAATATGTAAAAAAAATATAATAATTTTTTTATGAAACTTTAGAATATTTTATAATATCTTAGAAATTTTTTTATATTTTTTTATATTCTTAATATTTGAATAAAATAATAGGATTCTTATCAAAGTTATATTGTAAAATTTGTTATCTCAACATCTATGCATCACCTTGATATTAATGCTTGTGTACATTTGAAATGCCAAATACATAGAAGAGAACTAATTTTTGGAAATCTTTCATTACAAAATAAATTCTATTGAGACGTTACCAATAAATATTACAACAACTACTATCTAATCTTTTTATGAAAATAGATATGGTAATTTGTAATTTTGGGAGAATATTCAATTAAATGATGGATTTAAAAATAAATAAAAAAATCATCGTTGTTTCACACTGTTATCAAATGTGGCTCTAATGAATATTATTAATAGTAATTTAAATTCCAGAACCCATATTCTGTAATATCAATGTTGTGCAGTCTAGAAATTGGTCATAAAAATAGACTTTGTCTTGAAATATTTTAGCACATTGTTACATAGTCTCATTTGCAATCACAATCCAAACATTGCATCACAGAGATGTTAAAACAATTGCAATCCAAATGCATTTATTCATTGCTTGTTGTCTTCCCAACCCACATACAAATTTATTCTTGTTTTGTTTTGATGTTTTGCCTTTTCGATGGACCTTTTAAATGCTCATTCCTACAATCAAGCCCATGGTGATAGAAAACTGCCAGGTCATGGCTCTCCTAAAACCAAAGGTCAAAATATGGTTTTCTTAGTTGCATATAATCATATACATAACTTTAATTCTAAATCATTATATATTATATATTATATATTACCATATCTTCTACTTATATATATATATATATATATATATACATATCATGTTGTTGTATTTATTCTGTATTTATTTTTTTCTTATTCTTTTTGTTACATTTTATAATTGTACATATTTCTATTTATTCATGCATGTTAATTCTAAGATTATGAGTGCTTTTTGAATATGTATATGCTTTCTTTTGGGGGGGGTTTTTTTTTTTTTTTTTTTTTTTTTTTTTTCAATTTTATATTTTATCAAGAAATATTTTCTTGAATGATTATTGTTTAAATGATTTTTATTGTGATCTATTTTTGAATTATATTTTATTATTCATCAATAATTCACGTTCATATATTACTCTGCCAACAAAGCAAGGTCCTCTAATGCTAAGGTGTATATATATACAAACACATGCACATACTCAGCTTATTCAACAAGTGAAAGGTTTTTAAGAAAACCATTTTTTTAGAAATTACCAAATCATATTCCTATTTAAAATATTTCACAATCTATTAAAAATCTGTGTTTAGACGGTTATTTGTTTATTTCAATACATGCAGTGTGTGTGATAGTAATCATGAAACAAATGCCAGAATCCAGATGCCTTTTGTTTCATAATTACTATCGTGTATTTGTTGCAAGTGATTGAATTAGAATAATCACAATCAATCAAAATTAAATTTCTATAAATTTTCAAACAAAAGAATGACACTATCATGTGGTCAAACTTCAAAATTACAAACCATTAGGAAAGAAACCGATCCAAATAGATGTAAATTGTGCCAAAAGGATCGTAAATAAGAATTGAGATTGAGCAAGTGAGCAGAAGACAGGCACAACATAACCCACCAATAAAGTTTCTCAACCATCAGACTGTAGAAGGCACCCGATTGAGGACATGGATAGACACCTGGAAAGGGGATCTGATTAGTCACACGGGATCTGAAGTTGGCCCCTGGAGGGACCCTCGCCGAGGTTTGCCCTAAAGCAGGCCCACGCCCTCGTTCTCCTTCTCTTTCGACGGGCGGAGGTTCTACAGCAAGCGTCGCGCTTCGCCTCTCCCTCTTTCGTCCTCGCACTCTAACCTTCGCATTGCCACCCGCTCTTCCAGCCTCTCACCATGGGGTATGTTGTGTCTGTTCGTCTTATTTCATCTTTTGAATCTCCACTGTGAAAGTTTTGGAGAAGATTTTCGAGAGCTGTGTGTTTGGTACTTCACTTCGGGGTTAGGGTTTCGTTGATTTGGCTCGTTGGATGGGTTAGGAGACGAGCTGAGACTAAACATGGATTGGTGTGGGGTCCGTGTTTTGTTCGTGCAGTAAGACACGGGGTATGGGAGCTGGGCGTAAGCTCAAGAACCACCGCAGGGCTCAGTTGTGGGCTGACAAGTCCTACAAGAAATCTCACTTGGGTAACGAGTGGAAGAAGCCATTCGCTGGTTCCTCTCACGCCAAGGGTATCGTTCTGGAGAAAATGTGAGTATGATGTTTATGACTTATATAAGTTTTAGAGTGACCAGTTTCTGGGAGTAGTAGTATTTATTAGGGTCAAATGCTGTGTAACTGGCCTTGTTTCATTGTAATTGAATTTGCCAACCTTAGCAGTTTCATGCATTTACGAATTCCAGGCTCTTCGATGGACTGAGAAGTTCGCAGGTGCTTCAAAGGCCGAATTCACATAGTGATTGATTTGTCATCGCTTGGTTAGTACAATCAAATGTGAACCGTCACTTCGTGGTCACATTGCAATCGTTGGTATGGAATGCGTATTCTAATGAAATGTAAATTGTTTGACAGTGGTATTGAGGCCAAGCAGCCCAACTCTGCAATCCGTAAGTGTGCCAGAGTGCAACTTATTAAGAACGGAAAGAAGATTGCTGCCTTCGTTCCCAACGATGGTTGTTTGAACTACATTGAGGAGAACGTAAGCATTCTCGCTGCATTATTCCTGTCATGGCCTCTAATTGTCTATCTGTATCGCCCACATCAATGTCGCATGTTCTCATCTGTTTGATAGCATTTTCTCTTGGTCTCATCATATGTATGTATATATTTTTCTTCTTTTCAGGACGAAGTGCTTATTGCGGGATTCGGTCGTAAGGGGCACGCTGTCGGAGATATTCCCGGAGTCCGTTTTAAAGTGGTGAAGGTATCTGGTGTATCTCTTCTGGCTCTTTTCAAGGAGAAGAAAGAGAAGCCACGATCGTAGAGGATGTTCAAGGTGCACCTTTTTTTTTATCTGTAGTTGGTCAAGAATGTGATGCAGTGCATTGAACTTGCGTTCATGCTAACACAGTCTGTCAATGGGATGAGCGAGCTATTGAACCTATTCGTACGGCATGTACTTTCGCGCGTTTATTATTTGAGCACTGCTTAAGCAACTACGAGCACAGAAACCTGTTTCGTGCAAGCCGTGATTCATGCATGTTGTTGATGTAGGCATCGGCCGCATATTAGGTTTGCCACTGGCTACTATTGTTATTGCTTTTCCGAATGCCTTGCATTTTGATCAGTTATTGTCCCTCATAAATAATGCCAATTGTGTACACTCAACATTGCAAAGCTCTCAGAAGCCAGAAGTAAGTACGTTAACCAGATAACTGAACTAGCACATGCATTTCAAACGCAAACAGCTAGCCACTATTGCAGTATTGGAGCTTTTTGTCACACGCCGCAGTGTAACAGAGATATGCATTTGGTAGAAACTCGCGCAGCACTGTGTAGGTTCCGATCGGATGAGTATGGTTTCTTGGATCACCATGGCCAGCAGTAATCTTCAATGTCACTACATGCTAAATGGTGAATGTGAGTTAGAAAAGCTTCCAGCCGCTGATAATCAGTGATGCTGAAACATAGCGATGCAGGGGAAGGTTTCCTGTGTACTTGTTTTTCTTCTTTGTTTCGCTGGAAACTAGACTGTCAATGCATGTTGAGTGATGTAGATTTCTTAGAAAAGAAGAGATTTTGACAACTCTCAAGGGGTCTTGTAGAAGAGGAGGTGCAATCAGTATGTAAGCATTTTACCCCTGTGCTGTTTGCGTGCTTTAACATGTGTACCCAGCCATTCTTCAGCGGTGATGTGAAGAATTCCTGCACATGTGATCCACCTTATCTGAACCTTTTTTACACGGCACACGAAGGAAAGAACCATGTAAGAGTGGTTACACAAATGACGGTGCATGCTGTACTCTGGTTAGATCATTCAATACTGAAATAGAAGGCAGAAATGAACAAACGAATTAACGTAGCTCACAATTAGCCACCACAACCGCAATATGAGTTTCAGGAAGTTATTTATCCAAGTTTCAAGGTAAGAGCCACACCATGACTGTTACCTGCAAGAGGAGAGAGATTTCTGATGGTCTTTAACTGCTTGATTGGGTCGGAGAGAAGAGACGAAATCTTAGTAAAAAACCCATGATTGGCCGATAAAAAGCACGCAGGTTGGACAATAGTCACGTGCACAAGAATTGCAACAGTGGTGACATGATAATAATCATCGACGTCTTGCACGGTTTAACGACACTATCAACCCACACAGCGCAAATGTATCACACCTTCTGCGCAGCCTAAAAAAAATTAAATTCACACACTGACTTAAAAAATTCTCCGTTAACAAACCCTCATTCGAAGTCAAGACTAACCCACCTGGGTCAAATATCTTTTGGAGACCTATTAATGCTTGAATTGCCTAGTCTGCAGTACCATAAGTTTTCAGGGATTGAAATTTGAGTGGCATTTAGACTTTCCTAGCTACTAGACCCTGTTGTGCAGCATGTGATCCAGTGTGGTCGTTTAGCGAGGCACTTCGGAAGAATGCGCGACTAACACCCGGCTTCACAATTCAATACTAACTTCCTAGTGACAGTCAGAGTCGGCAATCCACAGAAGCTATCGCAGAAGTAATCCAGGTTGGGTTGGCCAAATCGGACCAAAGGGACACGGATGATGTCGCAAACAACGTTCACTCATTCAAACCACAACTCATAGTTTTCGGATATCCTCAAACGCTCGCTGAGTTTTGCGATAGAAAACACTTTGATGAATGCTGCTCGAAACAGAACCCAACTTTTAGATTAGATGTGCGAACCACCGATGCAGGTGATGGCACGGATACAAGAATCAGTTACTGAAGATGAAATAGTCTGAAGACAAATTCTAATACACAGATGCCTTCAAATACAATTCCAGAAGTCTTTTTCGTGAATTTCTACAGCTGCCGAAAACTAACAATAATCGTGTCAAAGTCGCACGCAATGGTCGACGAATGTCTTGGGCACTGTTACTTTAGACGGCGCCTACTTCAAAAACCCTAACACTGGTGATCTCAGTCACAACAATGAAAGTACAGCGAGGGATTTTCTCACAATTCTCACCTCATGGAGCATTCTAGACAGATACTGGTAATTCATGCTAAAACCAACCTCCTGGTCGAACCTCTCATCCTCCTGGCAACCAAAATCCCATCAACATCAACAGCAATTGCAGGCCAGGATACCCCGAGTTAGACGACACCACGACTTCCACATTCCGCCCAGATTCGACTGCACCAACGAAAGACAGAGCTGCAACAGGATTGAAACCGATGTAATCCACAAATAATCGTCCTAGCTACCCTACAGTATTCAAGAATATAATACAGCGTCGAGCAGGCCAAGCGGGCGACGTTACCGTTGCAAGGTCCGCTTCACGAATAGAACCCCGATGTCTCATCCACTCCAAGTTCACCGATGATGTTGCATCCACCTTTGAGTGGTTTCACGCACGTCCACCACGCCTCATCCATGCGATTCCTGAATTAGAAGATTCGCATTCAATCTCAATCAGCCGCTCATCAGATGTCGCCGTCGCCGTTGACGACGCCGCTCGTTAACGAAAAGTATCGCCGACGTCCTTCGTTGCGTCTGATCCCAACGGCTACCGTCGACCTCGTTCGTTCCAAATGTGAACGATGCTTTGATACAAAGTTCTAGCGGGAACCAGCCAACGTCTGGCGCCTTCTTCAGCGTCACTCCCGTAGTTCTTGTCACCCCGCTGTAATGGTCATCAGAGCCCCCGTAATCGATTCTAATGCGCTTAATTAGTGGTGCACCAGCGGTCCGAGAATCATTTGTGGTGACATAGTGCAGTAGCCTTTGATCAAAGTCGTTCTACAGGGTTTTCTTTGAATCCTGGGGGTTTTGGAGTCTTCTTGAGTTTCGTGTAGGTGTTGTGGATTTGTAGTGTAGAGGTATACAGGTTTGAGTTCATGCAATTGAGCTGTTGAAGAGTGTTGAAAGCAAGAAGGTTAGTCTTGCTTATTTGCATCTGCTTGTGGAGTTTGTTACGACTGTGGTGGGTTTAGTGGAAGCCATTGCTCTACGGGGACGTTAGATTCTGTTGCTTTACGATTCTTGTTTGAGTTTCGTGGAGTATTCCGTGTGCTCTGAGCGCAGTAATTGTCTCAATGCTTTTAGAATGAAGCCCCATCGTGTCCCGGAGCGACATTTTTTCTCTCTTTCCTCATCGGAGATGAAAATTGCGTCAAGTTTCGAATGTGTCATCTGTCTGGATGGTTGTGTACTCAATTTGGGATTTCTTAGGTTTATAGGGGCGTGAGGACTCGGGCGGATGATTCTTGAGCATTGCCATCAAAGTCCTCGGCCAAAGTGAACATGGAGTTGCGCAATCGGAAGTGATAAGCATTGTGATGGACGTCGGTATAGCAGATGATGACACACGATGCCGCAATATGGGCTCATCAAAGAAGGATTCTCCATTGCTCATGTACAAGCGTCGCAAACGTGATTCAACTCCTGTGAGGTATGCATGCATGGCTCCGCCTATCTGTTACTGCCTGTTGCAAAGTCTATGTACTCTTCCTGTGGGCTTTACTGTCCTCCGTGTTCATGAATCTGACCGTCATGTATCGATTCCTTAAGCCCCAATAGGCGTTCAAGAATGCAATGTCGGTGGACACATTGGTGCCCTTCGTGCGACCCGGTGGTGTAATTATTTCGGACTTCCGACTATTCGGTTCGGTTGCATTCTCATGGCGCTCATATCCCTTTTTCCATGTACAGAAGCTCCAGCCCCATTTCAGACAAGACAACCGAAGTAGAATACGATGAGTCTCCGTCCGAGTCGGAGGGTCGAGCATCCTCGCAGTTGAAGCTTCAATCCTTGGAGGAAGTAGGTCCGACAGGATGCAGCCAACGTGCATTGCAGGTGGTTAAAACAATCGCGGATTCGAAGAGGACATTTGCCCCACCTCCCGCCAAGCGCTGTCGACAGTACTTTCTAGACCTAGGGCAGGCCGACTTCACTCACACAACTTGTCGGGTTTGCGGATTAGTGTATGCTCGCGGGCTGGAAAGCGATGAAAAGCTTCACAGTTCTTTTCATCGGAGTCAGCTGAAGGGCATCCATTACAAGGTAAACCTTCGTTCGTCTGCTGCGAAGTGGTTGCTTCGCGAAACAGTGGCACCCTTTAACTTGTGCCAAAGTTGTGGAATTATCTCGAGTATGTTTCTTCTGCAGTTGATAAACAAAGTGTTCTCCTCTGCACCTATACCTTTGTAGTTCCGCAGCATACATTCTGTTCTTCTTTAGGTTGACATCCAGTGTGCCAGACAAGCTGACAATTAGTAGCGACTTAACAACTCAAATCTATGCTGATGTGGGCTGCAGGGTTGGAGCAATGAGAGAGTGGCTTATCAGGTTTCAAGCGAGGGTGATCGGGTTGTGTATGTATTGCCCGGCGATCCTTCAGGTTATCTGAACAAGGTTGGGGAGGTAGTAAAGGTCATGGAGCAGGAGATGGGGTTGTCCCCAGGTTGGCTGTGGCAGAAAAAGCATTGCAAGGTGGGAATGCGAACTTTCAGCATAATCTTCAGTATTGCCTCCGCTTTCTTTCTGTTCCTTCCATGTCTTCTTCCTCAGTATGTAATGCATCTCGCTTTGATAAATTTTCCGAGGTTCTAAGCTGTTTGAATTGAGCAGGCCTATCTATTCATCTCCGCATCCAAGAAGATTGTAGGCTGCGTTATAGCGGAACGCATCTCGTCCGCGTTCCCTATCGTACCCCATGAATCGAAAGACTCGAAGCCTCTAGACACTCTGTTACAATTTTCAGTTTCTAGAGGACACTCTGAAGAGTCACCTATCTCAGAAGCTAAAACTAGGGACGAAAAGTCGAAGCCTTGTAAACAGCTTCTTTGGGGGGGCTGGAAGTTTAATAGGGAAGTAGTGAACCGAAAAAAAGTACCCAATGACAATGTACAGGAACTGGGAAGGGCAATCATGTGCAGCAAGACTGAAGTCCCTGCAGTATGTGGAGTGAGGGGAATCTGGGTTTCTCGAACAGAGCGTAGGAAAGGCATTGCATCCCATCTTCTAGATGCCATGAGGTTTGTCCCTTCGTTTTGGCTCACATATTTTGACTCTTACTATTCCTTGAGAGTTCCTAGATGTCTGCCTTCTGAAATACTCACTTGATTTCTCTTGCTTCAGGAAAACATTTTGTGTTGGAGTGACGTTGGAGACCTCGCAGTGTGCATTTTCCCAGCCTACTCCAGCTGGTGAAGCTTTTGCTGCGCGTTATTGTGGCACTCCTTCCTTTCTTGTATATCATACCTCGTGGTCGATAACTTAGGTCTTCTATAAGTTGCAATTTGTGCACCCTTCTGAAGTTACTTCGGTGCAACACACATGGCACACCAACCTGGTTCGCACCATAGGTGCTGTTAGTGATTTTTTTTGGAAAACCATTTCTTGTAAAGATTTGCATCATCGGCATTGGAATGTGATAAATGGAACGTTCTTGAAATGTAGAACGGCTTTGTACCTTGTTTTATTTCTCTTGATGCAGTAATTGTCAACATTTCTGCATTGTTGAGGTGTTGGTTTGAACCCGTCGTTTTTAGATCATTATAGCTATACTTTTGTAGTTATGAAGTCCTTTGTTGAATGATACAAGATACAAAAAACATTGTTAAGTAAATTGTGGATTCCTTAGAAGTAATCTACATTCTAAAATATAATAAAGGATGTACATATCATTGATTTGTAACCATCAATAAGTCAGACAACAATAGTCATGTCCATCTTTTTAAAGACAATGTCCATATATTTGACATCATTAATCATTATTGATACAAACTTATGTATTGTCCACTTATCTATGTTCATGAAAAAATATGTTTTATCAACATTTTCAACCAACTTTTCATCCAACATACACAATTAAAATTTATATGCATTACAAGTTTGTCATCCAAACTTCTTCAATTACAACAAATGGTTGATGAATTATATATAATTATTTTCATATGGTATGTAATTTTTTCTTAATGTACAATAGTTTTTCTATGTAGATCATTAGCTTGTCATATCTATGTATGTTTACAATATTTTTGACTTCTATGAAATTTTGAATCTAGCAATTGTAAATATTTTCAAAAATAGCTATATTACTTTAGGTCATGTAACTAGGTAGAAGAATAAGATGCAATGATTACTTAATTATGTTCTTTTCTAACTCTATTAATAGCTTTGTCAAGAACTTCATAGTCACCTTCTGATATTGATTAAATTCTTCTTCTAACTTGATGTATAATTAGAGCATCTATTTTGTTTGTTTTGATTTGCAACTACATATTGTCTTTGAAAGCATCTTCTTATCTTTGTTAAGTTGTAGGTGATTGATAGACTCATGTTGTTCTTCATTAATCTCTATAATCTTCTTATGCACGTTGTTGGAATAGAGAGAATTTGCCTTACAAAAGTGTTGGGCTTCTAGTTATCACTAATTGCTCAATTAAGTCTCAAGATAGAAAAGCACCAAGTTTATACATATAAATTTGTTTCTATAAGAATAATTACATCAATATTTAAGTCCTAAGTATCAAAGAATATCTAAAATGTGATAAAAATATTCTAAATCCTTATATATTCTTAAGATGATTTTTTTCTAAATTTCTATAGATCATATCTTATGATAGGACTATTTAAACAAACTAAAAATTTATATGAAGTACTAATGTACTTTAAACAACTATTATAACAAATTTCAACTACAAATCCATTATGAATCTTAAGATATTATCAAAACCTTAATAGTAGCTTCAAACCCTAGCTTAAATACACATATGAGTAAATTTCTTATATCTCCCAAACTAAGTATTCAAATATCGTAAATTTTTCACATATAGCTTTTTAACCTAATAACATATATCTTTAAAAATTTTGAGCCAAAAATTCGTCTAAAAATTCAACATATAGCTCCAACTATTACTATCAACAAAATGGCTTACTTATTGCCTTTGAATTACATATCCTATCTTCAATGCTCTATAACTCCTTTATACAAATTCTAAATATATCAATTCTTTTGCAAAAACATAGGTCTTGAAATCATCCTTGCAATTGCATCTCCCAATTATCAAAAGTTATCATATAACTCCTTGTATCTTCAAAAGAAAAATAGTGTATCTTAAAAAGCCATCTTTATTTCAAACAACTATAATTTCATCATCTTAACTATCAATACTTATAAATATATTATTTATTTTAGTTAATTTTTATATTTTATTAATAATTGCAATACAACATCTACCCCCTTCAAACTTGTACATCTTCTAGTATATGCCACATTGTTGTAATACATGTTGTCTTGTTTGAAAATGCACCAAGCACCTAGCTGTAGAAGATGAAGTCATCTTTTACAAATATCTAAGAAACTTTAATAGGTTTTACTCATATGAAAAGAATGCGATTCAAATTTTAATTCAAAAGTACTTAAAGCTAATACAAAGTACTTAATAATACTCTTCTTAATAATCTCAACCATATATAAATCCCAATTTCCTTATAACACTCATAAATAGGCAATTTTGATTTCTCCTTGCAAGCCATAATTTTAGTCAGTGAGCTTTGGAAGGCTCCTAATTTGATAGTCCACTTGGTACAAAAAATTTCACAAAAATACCACTATAAACCTTTTATATATTTTTTAAAAATTCAATCCAATCAAACTTATAAATTGTGAGAAAAAGTCCAAAAATCACACTGATATCACTTAGTTGTCAACTTGAAAGTTGATGCAAATGTTCTAATAGTAATTTCTCCTTCTTCAACTATTAGATTCAACTCAAAATTTTTATATAGCTTGATATTGAAGTTTCTTATTACCATGCCAAATTTCATTTTAATCCAACTAGTAGATCTCTAAATATTATAGAAACCCTATCCAATCCTAAACTGCCAACTTTTAATACTTTCTTGTACCAAATTCCAAATATCTCCCAATTGCACTATTAGATTAATATAAAATTTTACATATACTTAGTACATCTAATTAATCAAGCACTATCAAAGTTTGAACTGTAAATGAAACACTAATTATACAAATTAGCTAAGAGTGCTAGCCCTAATTATATTCCATAATTCTCAAATCACCAATACAAATTCTAATTTTGAACAACAATTACAAAGTCATTCCAAATCCTTTGAAAATTAACTTTATACCTCTAAAATAAGCTTAAAGCTAACTCATCAATCTTAATTTTTAATCTTCAAATGCCTTCTATTTTATCTAAAGTAGTCATTTTAGTGATTGGAGATCTGATTTTGATTCTATCTCACAAATGGTCGACCTCCGGGTATCAATCTAGCCTATACAAGGGAAGTTTTAGTCTAATCATACCTTCAATTTAATCTTAGAATCAACCATGTTAATTATTTATCTCTTTTAACTTCATTTTATTAATTTATGGCATTTCTAAGGTAGTAAAAAAATTCTTACAGTCCAGAAGGTAAAATTACTAACTAAATTTTGATCTACTAGCTATTAAGACAAGAAAATATACTAACAAGCATTTATAAAAGTTATTTTTAAATATTTTAATTTATTATTAAATCAAGATGATTAAATATTAATTAAAAATTTATTTTTGATTATATTTTTTCATATAGTTGTGTCACAACACAACATGTTACTCCTCCTCATCTTCTTGAAATTTCTTTAAATCACTCATAAGTTCTTCTACTTTATATTCTTGGTCCAAATATTAAGGTAAGAATTCTTCAAGATCTTCTATTTTGAATTGTCCATATCTTTTTTTGAAAGCCTTTACCTTCTTTTTTGCTACCAAAATTCTAACAATAGCTCTATCTAATTCATATGAGGTGTATGTGGCATTATCATAGATTATAACTACCACATAAGATTTAAACCATTTTTTTTATAAATTTTTATTACAATACTATGCTAATATTTATAGCTGTTATTATAAACTAGAATCCAATCTTCAATCTTTATAAGCTTAGACCTCAACCTATGAGTTTATTTATTTATTTTTTATTTATTTTTTATTTTTCAAACTTGATTCCTTTAATCTCTCACCTATAATTTATAGGTCTTTAGGTAATCTTTTCAATTTTTGAATTTGAAGCTTTAATAATATTTTTTTATTAACATTATCTTTTCAAGATAAAAACATCTATATAAAATAGGTTTTTTTAGCTGGCATTATAGATTTTTATCCTAATATTAATTCTATGGATATATAACTAGTGACAATATTATGAGTAGTCCTATTAGTTCATAAAGCAAATAAAAGCAATTTAAGCCATTGAATTGGCTTATCTTTATGTGTCTTAACTAATGGATAAACAATAGGAGGATGACCACTCTCATTCTTTCCATTGGCCATAGGATTATAAGAAATAGTCAACTTTAGTTGAACTCCATATCTATTGAAAAATTCTCTTGCTTATACAACATTCAATTCTCTTATATCAGCTCTCATCTTACTAATGCTATTATATCTATTGAAGATGTCTTCTATTATAAATTTGCATATTGCTTCTATGGTCTTGGTTCTCAAAGTTGTTCCTTCAACATAATTTACTTTTACTTACTTCTATCTATTTATACAAGTATTTTATATCCTAAAGTCCTGATGGCATAGCTACCAAATCAATTATCCATTGAAAATGTATAAAAGGTGGATAAGTAGGATGTAATTTATCTCTATACGTAACCTTAGATTATAATTGATACTCTGTGCATAAGTTCACAAAGTCTTTTACAACCTTATATAAGCCCTTCTACCAATATCTTTTCTTGATCTTAGTATATGTAGTCCAAATTTCCCTATATCTTATCCAAAGTATACTATAATGTTCTTTTAAAACTTTAAATTTAATTTCAAGGTCTCTTACTATCCTCAATTGAATTTTGTCACATCTTTTTGGCTTCTTCTATAGAAATCCATATTTAAGTAGATAACTATAGGATTGATGTCTAATATCTTTGAAGGTTTATCCATCCATCTGTTACGGACATACACATGTAAGTTAGTAATTACATGTATAAATAGATAGAAGTAAGTAAAAGTAGATAAAAATAAGTTAATTCTATAGTATTTGATATAATAGCTTCTTAGAAGCTTCATAGATGCTACTTTGACTTTATAAGTGTCTTTAATTGACTTTTTGGGATTAGAAACGTAGTCAATAAGTTAGCCATGTGCCACACATGTTCTTAGTTTGAAGACCAAGCTAATTATGTAGCCCACACGTAGAAAAACTTGCCTTGTAAGTCAAGGTATGTGTCCTACAAAGTCAACACATATTGGAGGTTCTATAGAATGTTGCCACGTAGCCCCTAGTAAGATAGTATATATAAAAATAAGAATGAAGCCTTCTTCACTCTTGTCAACTCATTTCTTGCTTCCAATCTCGTTTCAAGGGTCTCTAGTTTTCTTAGCTTTTGGCAATAGCCATTCAAGTTTCTTTCTTAATATACATATGAAGTTATTTCTATTTTGTCAGCTTTCTTTGAGAGAAGTC